AGCAGTGGAAGAAATGGGACCTACTCTGGCCTCGTCTGTGAGTGATCAGATCTCTTTGTAGGGCATCCAGGTTGGTCGAGTTAAGACTTGTGTTCGACCTGTTACTCACCCAGCCTTGCGTCTGCTTATATTGTTAATATAAAAGGTGAACTTTTCTGTTTCAGGTGTTTCTAGACTCAGTATTATCATCCCTGGTGGTGGCACCATGAACCAAGTTTAAGGGAAAATATAAGGCCAAAAGGAAATTATTCTAATAGCACCAAATTACCTTTTCAGAGCAACCCCAAGCAAGGAAGTCATACAGCTGGCGAAATCCTTTCCTCCCAAGTTAGCATTTTGCATAGATAAGTCCAGCACTTTGCAGTGTGAACTTTTACAACTTTGTGCTCTGATTTGTAGTTACGCCTCGCTGCCACAGACAGTTTTCTTTTCAATGCAGCCTGCTCTCTCCAGGTGGCCGTGTTCAGTTAGCAATATTGAATGCTTCTGGTCAAATCTAGCTTTGACTTTCACCACATGTTGCTGTTCCATCAGCTTCTTCAGCTGGTGCTGCCAGCATTGACGGTATCTCTTTGATCCAGACATTAACGAGCTGCTTTATGCCTACCTCAAATGAGGTCATCCTTCAAAGAGAGAGGGGCAGCATCTTGTAAGTTTTTCATGGTTAACACCTGGAAGACTGTTTTTTGAGGCTGTCTGTAAGTAAATAGATGGTCTCTGCTGAAGTGAACATTGTACAAGTTCACTTGTATGGGTGGATCATGCTGAGAAACGAGGGACAGCTTTTTATGAGTTGACATTTTGTTTTCTTTCTCTTTTTAGGATGTAGATAATCTCATGAACTCTTTCAGCTCTTATCAAAGAGCTGATAAGCTGGGAAGATAGCTCCCTCTCCTTCTGCAGTAGTTGTGATTGTGTGATGGGAGTGGAAAACTATTGTGAGTGCTGAAGCGACTGCTGAGCTGCTTGCATTGCTGATTCCATTCTGTCAGCAATGTCAATTAGTGCTTCAAGAGGTTAATATCTCAGAAGAGAGGCTTTGTGAGTCATATGGTCTCATTTGATAGATAATTGTTATAGTCTGCTGATTTCTTCATGTGATCTAAGATGAAATCATGTGGTATGACAGAATACTGCAATTTCCTATTATATTTTCTTATTATATAAAATTGTGGTAAAACAGCAAGCTTTCTGACCCACCAGTGAAAAATAAAAACTTCTCCCTGTGTTTTTTTTCTGTTGTGTAACTCTCTTAGAGTGACTACACTGAGATCACTAAGCCACTGCCTTTCAGCAGCCCAGCTTGTCCTTCTTTGAACCAAGTATGGTGATTCCACACTTATATGTGATTTTGGAGGTGGTGGAGTTTTTTTATGTCAGTCCGCTGAGCCTGGAAGAAAGTCTAGGCAAGAAACTGAGTTTTGAAATAGCCCTGTCAATGTGCATTTATTTCTGTGTTTTCCTTCTGAATTCAAGAGTATCTAATCTGAAAAAAATAATAATTGTGTAATTCTGATTTTTTTTTGAACTGGTTGAGAGTCAGTGGTGGTTCTGTGAATTCTGGGCTGGAGACGGCTGGCTGCTGGTGTGGCTTTGAGGTGGTCTGGAAAGACCATGGGTTGCATGTTCTCCTTGTGCCTCTTCCAGCCCTACGTCTCCAAGGAGGACAGGAAGAAGTCATCAGTGGTGAGCCAGAAACATACCCACAGGGAAAGCACAACGTTGTTACCCGGGTAGCAAAACTAAGTTTATTAGAGCAAGATCAATACTGAAGGGTGCAAGTGACACTATTGGTAAGCTTGGGTTGTCATGAAGGGTGACAATATTTACCTAAAATTTCATTCACTGCCTTTCCTTAAGTAAATCATGCTGTTTATCTCCCCTATCAGCAGTTTTATTCTGGTGGTTCAAAATTTACATTGAACTATTGCAAAGGGTAATATATTTATTGATTATACTCAGGTATAATTTTAGTATGTTCTTTGCCATAATTTTTTTTAATCATTTCAGTGCATTTTTAGGCTAGAATTTCTTTCCCTGTGTAGAAGGCCAATTTGTAAATCAGTGTCTCTAGAAGTTTTATCATATTTTAGTCTTATTTTAATGTAGTCATAATTGAATTTATATAGTAATGAGTAAAGAGGGGTGAACACTAGACACTGGAGTAAGGTATTTTCTGAGAAAGAGGCCCTTGGTCCTGCTTCTGCCCGTGGTGGTGCTTTGTTTTCTGTGATAGTGTTGGGTCCCACTAAAGGCTGGGCAGCAATGGGGTTTGAATGTCAACTGCTTATATAAAAGGTAGAATGAAAATTTGATTTTGCAAATCTCTCTGCTAAATTAGCGAGGTGAGAATGTTGTGAAATGATTTAATGCTTGTAATTAGGAACATCTCTCTCTTTCCTCCCACCTGGTCTTTTTACCAGGTGTTTTCTTTGGCAGGGATTTAAGGATAGGCAGTGATGCTGGAGATGAAAAGCTACAGCTTAGCGCTCATAGGATGACTTTAATTTCTGTAGGGTTGTGTCATGTGGAAGGTTCAGCTGTCTGTAGTAGCCCAGTTTCTATGGTGATCTGTTCTCTGCTTTCTCTTTCCCTTCTCCAGACAGCGGAAAATACACAGTTTCAGCTGAATAAATGAAAGGTGCCCATTTCATGCTGGCATAGATCATGTAGTTAGAGACTGCTACGCAGCATTTGCTGCCTGAAGTTAACAGGATTTGTGTTGTATGAGGCTGCTGCCTTTTCTGCATCAGGAAACTTTTCTTTGTGTAGCCTAGAGGGGAGCAGCCTGCTAACCCGTTTGGCTAGGCAGTGTTTAAATAATTTCCTCTTTTCTATTATGTTTACATTGCCTTCTGTTAATTCCTGTGATGAGAGGGAAGCAGTATCCCATCAGAAATATTGAGGATGGGGAACTGCAGCTGTTGCTGGGTGGCTGGGGGTAACCTTGGGCAAAGTGTGGTACGTATTTGATCTTCAGCTGTGTCTGACACTGCAGCATCTTTGTGCTGAAATAAAAAACTTCCCCACTTTCTCACAGGGTTTTGATTTTTAGGATTTCTTTGTTTTGGTTGGTGGATTTTTGTTGTTGTTTTTTTAAATAAAAGAGAGTTCTGTGAACAGGTGCATTGGGGTAAGTTTGGATATATGTGTGTTTATGAAGTTTTACAGGGAACCTTTTATTCAAAAACCACATGGGAAAGAAAGAAGACATTGCTTCTGAGCGTACTATTTGACTCCAGTGGAATTATTCTGTCGTTTCTGTAGGTTTGTCCCTGCATGGGCACATACACTTGTTAACACACACCTTCATTTTAACTCAAGCGAGGTTTATTCGCCTTTGAGATACATCAGGGCTGAAAACAGATGATCCAAGTGCCCAAACCCATGGCTTCTGCTGTGGATTGCCCAGCTGCTCCACAGCCTCCGTGGCTGTTGCAGACACTGCTCTGTGCGTGGCCAGAGCACACACTCTGCACAAGAATTATTGGGGGTGGTGTCGTTCGTTTTTCAAATAATTCATCAATATCAATATTCGTATCTTTTGGGGAAACAGGGAAGAGGGTATGTAAATAATAAAGTAATAACTGCACTTCTGTACTGAAAACAATTGCAAATATATATGAAACTAATACAGCTCAAATGAAAAAAAGAAAACATGACCACATATTTACTACAAAGAACAAAGTTCTGCCTTTGCTCTAGTCATTTTATCCTTTCCTGTCTCACAACACAAAGGCAATATGAAGCTTGGTCTTTCAAAAAATCCCTAGTAGAAACCAGAAGTTTGTCATTTTAAGTAGTGGGAAAACTGGGTTAATAAGAGGGGGGAAAAAAAAAGAAAAAGCAGCCTTAGCATTCTTTGAGGCAGAAGATCTATGCAAAAATCAGTTGTGTAAGATTAAGTGATGAAGCTCTATGACCACATGCTGTTTTCTCTGCCATCAAATGTTGTGCTTTGACAATTGTGTTACAGTTATTTTGAAATAATTTAGTGGATTTAGAATGTTTTGCAACGTGGCTGCACCTCTAAAGTCAGGAAGCTGTTTTGTTTGCAAAGGTGAGGGGTGTGGGGTGATCTTGGTGCTCTCTAGGCATTGCAAGAGCATCAGTTCGGAAGCTTTAATATATTAAAAATCACATAGCCTTTTCCTTGTGTTACTCAAGAGTGGTTTTCATATGTATATATTTGCATGTACATGCAGCTGTATAAGTAACTAGATGATTTCCATATACCTTTAATTGATTCTTGAATATGAGATAACCATTATATCTCCACTCATTTAAAAATATGAATATTCTTTCTGTTTTTGAAAACAAGTCATATGTTTGCTCAGGGTTACTTTAATGAATAAAGTTTGCGTGAAAATGGTCATTAATTGGAATGCTGGTTCAGGGGTTATTTTCCTATTCTTTGGAGGCCTCTTCAACCAAATATTTTCTTTTTTTTTCTTTTGACATTCTGGAGATAATCCATTTTAGACTTGCCTTCTTTGCAACTACAAAAGAAAGAGCTTTTAATACTCAAGATCAGATAGCTTTGCCTGCATTAACACGAATGTGCCCAAGTGTTCGCTTTGGGGGGAAAAAAAAAAGCTACATAAAGTTATGTTGCAAATGTGTTTAGAATCTGCTCAGAAGAGTTTCTACAAGTAGTTTTTTTGATAATTAAGTTTTTAATCTCTCTGAAAACACTTTTTTTTATGTGTAGATTTTCAGCATTGAATGTGTACCTTGGAGCATTATGTTGCGTGAAAAGTGCCCTTTTCTTTCTCTGTAGGCGATAAATTAAAGTTGTGTAGTATTTTATCAGTAGATAAAACAATTTATTAATCTCAGATGTACTAATTACCTTCTTTGTTGCTTAAGGCTTTGACTGTTAAACAAGTATTTAAAAAAAAAAAAAAGAGAAAAAAAGCTTTTGGTGTCATGCATATTGGTGATTTAACTATATTGCAACAAAACGTCACTGATCTTCTGCTGTTGTTCTTGTATTGCAGTATGCCAGGGTTTGGATCCCTGATCCAGAGGAGGTCTGGAAGTCAGCAGAACTTCTCAAAGATTATAAACCTGGAGATAAAGTCCTTCAACTTCGACTTGAAGAGGGGAAGGTAGGTCTGTGTATTGTCCATAAGCTGATTGTTCATGCTCTTGACTGGAGATTGACGTATCTTGCACAGGAAGCCATATTGTCAAAATATCTCCGTATTTATGTATATGCAATTATTCTTGTTCACCGACTTCAAGTAGTATTTTTTTGTGTGACAAATTATACCATTCATTTACAAAAATCCATTTTTCCTGATTTTTAAAAATAACATGTGTTGCTTTTATCCCACTGCATGTTACATTCAGTTGCATCATATTTTTCTGCTTAGGCCGTTAAAACTATAACCCTGCTTTGATACTCCAGTGAGAACAGTGTTGCTAGGAGAACAGTGTTGCAGAGAAAGATTTGTGACTTTTAAGTTGAGCGTAACCATCAGAAGATTTGTAAAGATAAAACGGGGAAAGGATTAAAAGCATTATGAAATGGTGCTATATATGGTGTAGAGAAAAATCATGACGTGTCTACAAAAAGCTTGCGTCCTTCTAGTTGAAGGCTGGTTCATTTTTTTCATGCCATTTAAATGGCTATTTAATTTTAATGTATAACAATGATGATCCCTGAGATCTTCCCATGGAAAATAAAGATCTACTGCAGTTGGCCAAATATTTATTTTTAACTTCTTTTCTTACGGGTGTTGTTTTTTCTTCTTACCAGTAGATCCTACTTTCACGTAGAGACCTACATAGCTGTGAAGTAAAAAGAACAAATTATATATATAGAATAGCTTCTAAATAAAACATTTTACTTGAATACGTTTCAGTCTTTGACTCACTCATATTTCTTACATGGCAAGCTGAGTACAGCCTTTTTAATGTGACAAGATAAATCCCCCCCCCCATATTCTGGGCTGTGTGGGGATGCTGCACACTTGAGCATCGCATGTAGCAGAATGGAGGTGTTTGCCAATTGAGTCATGTTGTGTGCAGAAAAGAAAATATCCGGTAAATAAAGTAATTTTAGATCTAGAGACAGATGCAATTAAAACATCTTCATTATAGATTAATTTATATTTGCAAAAATTGTAGATAGTGGGTTTTTTTCAGTTTATATGTTCTTCATGGCGTTCTGCCAATGTTTTTATGTAATATTACTGTGTATGAAGCTGGCTATAGACTGTTGGAAATCTGCTTTCTCTGTTCCACTCAAGAAGAAAATAGGATGAAAAACTAGTTAGATTTATGATACAACATGGTTTGTTTTATTTAATAAAAAGATTTAGCAGCAAGAGAAAGGAATTTGCTTAAGTAATAGTTTAAAAAGATGATGTCTCTTTATGGTTGCCTGTTGCATATAGAAAATCCTTTTGGGAAATATTAAATGACATTTTTGGAGAAAGAACTGCCCCCTCAAATCACCAAAAAAGTTCAATCTTGCATCGTGCTTTGTGACTTGGGCAGGTTTTGCTGTGAAGAATGACTGGGGGGTCTGCGTGAGAAAACCTAAGCACCAGCTCTTTCACCATGTGTTTCTGTTTGATTTGCAGGACCTAGAATATAGCCTAGATCCGAAGACCAAGGAACTCCCACCCTTGCGAAACCCTGACATACTTGTTGGTGAAAATGACCTCACAGCACTCAGTTATCTCCATGAACCAGCTGTTTTACACAACCTCAAAGTTCGATTTATAGACTCTAAACTAATCTATACCTATTGTGGCAAGTACTGTCTTTTCATACCATAATCTATACCTAGAATGCTAGACAGCAAAAGGAAAGTTGATTATTGATATGCATGCTTTTAACTTAAAATCATTTCATGATAGGACATGTTGGGCTGTTCTATGAAAGTCCCTGTGATTGTGGTCGTTAAGTGCATTAGAAAGACTTCAAAGTGTTAAGGTTCAGAGAAAATTGACTTTGCTTTGTATCCCTCTGCCTTCCCAGTGGACTCTGTTTATGAAATGTGTGTTCAGCAATTTCAGCGTGCTGGGATTTTTATGTGTTTTATTGGATTCCTGGCTGGTTGGTGTTCCTCTTAGTCTTGCTTAGATAGGCATGGGCTGGAGGAGAGCTTCACTGCCTGTGCAGTTTGATGGATTTATGCCTAACTCTGCATTGAGCTCCTTTGTCTCTGTACAGGAGATGCCAGTTTATTTTCTTTTTCATGTTCTCCTGTCAGTGCCACTACAGGACTAAATCCTCAACAGCACATGAGCCAGCGCTTGTCCGTTCACAAGTATTAACAGTCTTGGTTTAAAAAATACCACTGAACACACAGAAGAGGTTACTCAAAGTTGTAGTGATAGGCATAGCTTGTGGTAGTTTCAGATGTCCAGAATGGTGGAAGTCACTTTAATGGTCGCTTTATCGTAGGTTCAAATTTGCAGTCAAGATTTAAAGAAACATTGTGAGATAGTTTAGGCTTGAAATTTGCATTTCATGCTTCTGGTCTTTTTTCTCTATGTGCCTGTGTTTCCTTTAAATCTCAGTGTTTAGTCAAAATACATTACTAACTTTTAATATAACCTTTCAATATAAAAACTTTGTTAGTTTTTCAAAGATTGAAATCTGTAGTTTGGATATTGTGTTAGTGAATACGAAACAGTTTAAGTCATTGGTGGATTTTTTTACATTTTAAGCTGAGTAAAACAAAACATAATATCATGGCGTGATTGCTAGAAACCAGATATTGAAAATTTCCTTCTTGGAATTGTCTGATGAAGGCAAAGACACATTTCTTCCAGTAGGTGTAGTCCAATTGTCATTTTCATATTAATTGTAGCTCAGTTTATGCCAGCAGAAAACATGCCCCATGATTTCTTTTTAAATGTGCAATTTAACTTTGTCTCTAAACAGACTTTTGTAAGGCAGTCCTTGTTCTGGGTATCACACGCCAGAGTATATTGAGCCTTCCTGATGTCATCATGTATTAGATGTTTGTAATTTCACTGTACTTTGGGCTACTTTGCCAACTGTGGAGTAGGGAAGTCACGTTGCAAGGTGGCCCTTGGCAGATACTGGCTCGTCCTGACGGCAGGTGGCTGAAGGAGGAATTCATGTTTTACAGCCTTGTTCTCTCCTGGTCTGCACATGGAGGATGCCAAGGGTCAGATTTTCCCTCTCCTGGTCCCTGTTACGGTTCCACCCATGGTGATAGGTATGGAGAGCTAAGGCTGCCAGCACGTTAAAGACATGGTGATGGGTGGACTGCAGGTCCTGCTGCATTTTGCGCACTCTGATATTCCTGACCTGTGGATGCTCAGCAGAGCGCACGCATCTACTCCCAGTCCCGCTCTCAGGCCATGGGGGGCTGAATCAGACTTTGCCTCCCTCTGCTTGCAGCCAGCCTTCCGCCCTGTAGGAGCGGGAGATGATTCATACCCACGTCTCATCCCATCATGCAGTCAGAGCATGACTAAAGGCACAGAATAATTTAGGTTGGAAGGGACCTCTGGAAGTCTTTGGTGGAGCTCCCTACTTAAAACGGGTCTGACTAGATTGGGCTGCTCAGGGCTTGGACCAGTCAAAGCATCTGAATATTTGGGTACCTCCAGTGATGGAGATACTGTGGCCTCTCTGGGCAATCCCTGCTGAGTTCTGGTTCCTGGCACTGGGAAACCACCTCAGTTCCCCTAGCTTAGCTGTTGTCCATGTTTCTGTCCCTAGTGCCCCCACGGCAAAGCTCTTGATGGGGTAATGTTTTGTGAAAGGGCTTTTGGGCTTGTTAAGGGGTTTTCAGCCTGAGTTTCATTGTTTTATAGTTTCTCATAGGGCTGGAAGTCCTTTAGCTCTTCATGGAGTGGGTCTGACAAAGGGCCTGGGATGGAGGAGCTTGGTCAGCTGTTTCGCTTCCAGACAAGTCTGAAGTGATGGATCTGGGAACTGTGTGTGGGTTTGTTAGAAACATGCAGATCCAGGAGCGTGGGGGTTCCCTCCTGGTGGTCCAAGTGCAGGGGAAGGAGGTTTAACACTTAACTGGTGACCTGAGGAGTGCAGAATGCTGTGGATTTATTTGCGTGGGAGGCAGGGATATGTACATTATGTTGTAAGCTAAGGCAAGTAATGTCAGCATGTCAGTCTTTGAAAATCAGGTCCTTTGGCTACGGACATTCAACTTTCAAACCGGCCCGTCAGTTCCCGTTCTGAGTACAGGCGGCTTCTCCTCTGCAGAGATTATTGCCTTGGAGCTCTGCCTGCGGGAGGACTTGCATTTGCCTCCTTAATCTGATTCACACATTACCCAGGTTAGTTTAAATACCCGGTGAAGGTGGTTTAAGCTAACCCAGTTGATCTGGCCTGAAGGAGATTAAAAACACTTTAATCCACCAATAGAACTATGGTAACATTATTCTCAACCAGCAGAACTAGAACTGGGAGGGATGAATGTCCACGGCCCTAGGAATTATTTTAACTGTGCTGTCCTTTGTGTAATATGTCACATGGATGTTAAATTCTTTAAAATTTCTCTTTGAAGTAATCCAAGCTTTTAAACAGAAAAACCTCCTGATTTCTTAATTTCAAGTCAGCTTTTCACCAGCAATTCAGAGGTGATGAATAACATTGCTTTACTATTGGGGATATGAAATGAAGGATTAACGAAGGAAGTTGAAAAGTTGCAAAGGAAAATTTGAATGCTTACATGGAAAGACTGCTATAGCTGTGATGAAATCTCAGTGAATACTGCTGGTTAGTTCAGATGTATAAAGTACTGCCTGCTATGCAGGGGAGCAAACTTTAATTTAAATTAATAAATTATTTATATTAATATCCAGTTTGTCCACAAATGCGTGAATATATTCATGATAAAAGAATTAGCTAAGAAGAATGGCCAAAGGAGTAGCCAGAGTTTTATTTAGTGTAATTGTAAGAACAAAAACACACATAAACTTGATTTGGGAAGGCCCATGATATTTCTTAAAACAGCAATATGATTTAGTGGAGATAAAGAGAAGTTATATATAAATTAATCTGGATTGTAGTCCTGTGAGACAGGATTTAAAAGTTCCATAGAAATCATATAATTCCTAACTCACTTGTTTTGGGTATTTCCATATGGCAGTTGCTTGCACATTTTACAGATCATTACTGAAGGTAAGTGATTTAATGTGCTGGAGACTTGTCATGGGGCTGCTTGTTTGGAATTTCTGAAGGGTTTATTTTTGCCAACGTAGCCAAAAGCAGGAGAGAATTGTCTGAAGCCTCACACGGCTTTCTTTTAATGTCTCTTTGATTAGACATGCGAGCCTGGGAGGCTCAGCTCGGTGGCGCACCCTTACTTTTTACTACTTTTTCACGGTTACAGAGGGCAGATGTTAAATACCAACACCGAAAATACTCCTCGAGTCTGCTAGTACTGAGGTCCCTTTCCCTCCCAATCCCTCTCTCCCCCCCCTTATTTTTTGGCTCATCATTACAGCGTCAGAACTTGGCATAAATTTTTATAGAGACTTTTCACTCAAGCTCCTGAGTCATTTCAGTGAAGTCTGGGTGATGGAAAAACACTGACTCTCCCTACATGGGCGTGTCTGGCCATAAAACTTACCATATATTCGAGGAAACAGATCAAGGTCTCTCGGATCTCTCTGTGAATTATATTCTATTGTTGTTTAATGTTTTTTGCTATGGCTTGTGCTTGATCTGTAAATGCATGCCAGGATTTAAAAATGGGATGATGTTCCTGGCAGCAGTGCCAGACTGTAGGTGCTTTCACTTCTCCTAGCTTTTCCATGGAAAATTTCTGAGATAGACATCACACCGCTGTAATCTGCACGGAGCAGAGGGCTGGGATCTGCACTGAGGAAGTGTGTGTGCGTGTGAATTCTTGAGTAAATTTAGAAGCAAGCTGAGGGCTGTGGCAGTGCTCCTGGCGCAGTTTCTTCAGCCATGGTTTGTCCAAGGACCATGTGTGGCATGCTTCCTACAGTCACTGTGCAGCTATTTGCCCCAGCATTGTCACTTTTAGGCACCCAAATATACATATGTGTAAGAAGAAATTCTATTTTTAAAATAGCCACAGTTAAAATTAGAGTTTCTTTCCCCCTCACCCTCTTATCCCATTGCCAAGGTGAGGAGGAATGCCCATGTCAAGAGAGCACAGATTGCCTGGCACGGCTGGCTCTCGTGTGGCAGTGATCAGTGTTTTCACCCCTGCATGGAGCAAACAGGTGTTCCTTACCCGTTGTAAGTGCTGCAGGAGAGAAAGGTATATGTAATCTTTGGCAAATCATCCCCCTGGGCAGAGCAACCCTCATTTCTCATGAAAAAGAAAACCATACCAAAAGCATTTGAAATGGCACTTTGTGGCTAGGAAGGGCGTATGGAGCAAGACTAAGCTCTCCTGTGCGGGGAGAGTAAGAGGATGGTATGAGTTTAGAAATGCTGTAGTAATGAGTGGTGGCTGAAAAGGAAGATACGTGTTTAACTGGGATGGAAAAAATAGAAAATGGAAAGTGTAAGTAGTCATGTAGACAGATGTATTAGATGAGGGTTTTATGGTGCCTTCTAGAGCTGTAATTACTTAATTTCCTGACATTACTGTATACCTCTGGGTATCAGCTGTATGAGATATGTCTACATGTACTTTTTTTGATCCCTTTGAGCAGGAGGTTGTCCTGCCTGACTGGTAAGATGCCCTGGAACCCAGATTGCACCATGACTCTCCTTTGTTGCTTGTTACTAAAGCTGAAGATGTTATTCCTGGGTGCAGCGTAATGGCTGAGAGGTTCACACGCTTCACGTATCCAAACTGGCCGTCAGCGAGGCCATGTAATAGCTGTAATTCACAAATCACAGTATCAGTTGTAACTCAAAGTGAAACGCAGGGAAGTACAATGTGCATTCATCAGTGTACTGTACCGAGCAGGCTGTATTTCAAGTCCACACAGTCTGAATCTGGTTGTTTCATGCTCACTAACTTTAGAAAAGGCAGACAGAGGAAAAAATAAAAAGTTGTCCCTGATGTGTTTCCTAAAGCAGGATAGAAGTAAACTCTTCTGACACTCTTTTCACATAAAACTGTGGTCAGAATAAATATTTGTTGAAGTCAGTAATATCAGATCCTTATTCTTCTCTAGCTAATATTTTTAGAAAGGCTAAAATTGGTGTTAAAGCCACTTTTTGGTTTGTTTTCTTTTGAAACAGCTATTAATAATTCCTTTTGGTTCATTTCCTTTCTAGGTATCGTCTTAGTGGCCATAAATCCTTATGAGCAACTGCCTATCTATGGCGAAGATATCATCAATGCCTACAGTGGCCAAAACATGGGGGATATGGATCCACATATCTTTGCGGTGGCTGAAGAAGCATACAAGCAGATGGCCAGGTTTGTAGACCACTAGTCCTGAATTCTTTTTTTTTCTAAAAGGAGTAAGACTAAAGTTTCTGGCCAATGGCCTTCTCTTTAATTTATAGCTCCTTAAATATTTTGCATATAAATATTTATAAATAAATAAAATTTATTTATAAATTAAATTTATAAATAAAAATATAAATATTTTTCTCCAGTGTTTTAGTAAATTTCACAAGAGGGTAATTTAGATCTGTCTTTTCTCCAGTGTTTTAGTAAATTTCACAAGAGGGTAATTTGCCTAAGCTGGCGAACAGTACGGCATTACAAATGCTATGGAGAGACCATGGCCACTGACAGGTAACAGGAATAACCACAGATCTTGTCAGTATTTACGTCTAAAATTAACCCAGTACTTTATAGGTTTATATTATTTTACTTTGATTAGCAAAATATGGAGATACTTTTTAATTATCAGTGTATTTTTAAAGAGAAAAGTGCTATGTTCTTAACTGCTCTGTATTTATATGTGGTACTGACAACAACAACAAAAGTCCCTCGGCTTATGAGTGCTATTATAGGCTCCTGGTCACGTTGGTAAAGTCCCAGCTTCGTAATCTGCCTGTGGCTGCTGGTGAATTAAGAGGGAGCAGAGGAATGATTGCACAGAGTGCCTGGGAATGGTGTCTCTAAGGACACTAACAGCTGCACAGGAGATCCTCCTTTCTTTAAATATTGCATGAAAATGAACTTGTCACCCAAGGAGAGTGGTTATTAGAAACTTCTGCCCTTCAGCCCAAGAGCCTGCCAATTTGAGGACCTTTTGAAATATTTTGTTTCTAGGTAAAGATCTTTTGGGGTGCTGTGTGGTTAACAAGATGGTCCCTGGTATCCTCTCTGGTTAGCTGTGAGCTATTAATACAGTTTTCCTTGTTGACAATACAGTCCATGATCAAATTAATCAAGTAAAACAGTGGCAGATCTCTGGATTAATTGTGATGGCTCTCAAGCTGTACTGCAGGAGCAGGAGGCAAGGGGAGAATGGGTTGAAAATGGTAAAATGTTCATCTTTGAAATTAGCTATCTGTTCATTTAAGAATCCATATGAGAGCTAGAATGAATAAAATGCTCTGTACACTGTGAAGTTAGTCAGCTGCGTACGTGAAATGGTGATTCATGATACCCACGCAATAGATAATTTCAAAAGAAAACAGTATGGTACAGTGCAACACTTCATGACTTGGGATAATTTCGAAATAGCCAGTTTCAAAAATACCCTCCATCTGCACTGTTGAGTGGCAGAGGTATTTGCCTTACTTCCTTTCAGCCGAGAAAAGAGACATATCGTCTGGTATGGGAATATACAGGCAAAACTGCATGTTATGACAGTCACATCTGCGTTGTGGCTCTTCAAGTCTCACTCACCGTTTTACTGATCTAGATCACTGCTGTTTTAAAAAGACTTGCTACTCAAGCCCCTCTAAAAGCTCTACAAAATAAGAATTAGCCTGATTTTACATCTGTGGCACAGTACAGTCACCTGCCATTATAAGTCAGTGATGGATGTAATACAAATTCCCAGAATTTTTGTTCTTAATGTTAGTAAGTGAAAGTAAGAGGTTGGAGGGGGCTCTCTCTCCAAGAGCTGCCTCTGCCCACTGTCTGGAGCAGGCTCACCTCTTACCTGTGTTGAAATCTCAAATTGCCGGATCACCTGCACTCCGTGTGCTTTTGTTGGCTGAAGCCTGTGCACTGGAGATCACTATCTGCCACTGTCTGTATCCTCTGCCCTCAGAGGAAGACTCAGAGGGCTCAGATTTTGGCTAGAGTTTCTGCTGTGGTTTTTTGCTTTTTGTGTTAATTGCCTGCTCTTCAGCTCTCCCTGTACCCTCCAGCAATTCTGCTGTCCTGAATAACAACAAATAAGATGTGGTAGAAGTTCCTTTTTGAAACAAATGATGAGAAGTTATATAAGCATGGAAATGATCTTAAATAATCCTTATGCATTAATGAATTAATGCCTTTGTGTGTCTACAGCTTGTTATAAACAATTTGTTATTCTTTTGTGAATAACTGACAGTACTTTCATAGGTGCAAAATGAAATCTGGGCACGTAATGAAAATGAAAAAAATTCCTCTATGCTGACGTAACCATTTCATTGTTTATTTAGTTTCCTAATGTTTATTTCATTTTCTCTCTACTTTTTTTGTTGTTTGTTTTTAAGAACCTTTTCTGTCATTTGGAGGTACTGAGTTTACTCACTGAATTTCATTTTGTAATGCTGTTTTCGATTCCTTCATCAGTTGTCCTGCCCTTTAACTTCAGTGATACTTTCTACATTCTGAAAAAAACACCTTTTAGTCCTGAATTATGAAGTTAAAGAAAAAAAAAAGTGCAGATTTACATTTCTGCATCTGGTTATTTAAAAATGAAAATCAAATTGTCTGTGACTACTTCATTAATGCTTTAATAGTTGCATCGAATATTCATATGGTAGCTACTCATGGCATTAATCTGCATTTTTGCATCTAATTGGTGAGATTTATTTTTCTGTTGTTTCTAATCTTTCCTAACTCCATGTTTAAATGATCACTGGAATAATTGGTCACGATGCTTCTATCCATAAGGCTTCAGTGAGCTCTTCTAAATATTTACTCCTTAAGACTTCTTGTTAATTCATAATTTAATGATTTAGAACTTGTTCTTGCCAGCTTCATTACTCCATCTGCTGTGGCTGAGAAACTCTTTCCATGTGCTTGGCTGTAACTAAATGATCTCTGTGGTCTTCTTCAGCCATAGAAAATGCCCCGTGACAGCAATCAGGACGGGTAGTGATTATACACTAAATACTTGTACTGTGTCTTTGGAAAAAATACAGTGCAAAAACGTTGACTGCTGTGTTGTCAGGGATGGAGCTCACATCTGGCTTCTGCATGAAAGGTGATGCTCAGCAACTGCTCGGGGTTAATGGCAGCACAAAGCAGCACACACAGATACCTTCACACCTGGAGTGTTCCAGCCCAGTGGTGTGGTACATGTCGTCTGGGAGGGGGTGTCCCCCTTGGGGCATCCATTAGTTCCTCTTTCAACAGCACTTCTGTTGCCAGAAAGGAATATGGCTCGTCTTTACCCATAGCTGGCAACCGAGTAAGTGATTACTGTTTGCTCAGGAGCTTCTTGTCTTTTCCAGCACAGGAAAACATGCACAGCTCTTTTAAGACTAATCTCATTTTGGATTAGTATTTCTTTTAATTTCTCCCTCTCTCCCCACCCCCCCCCC